ACAGACTCAGTAGTTTTCTAGGTGCTCACTGCCCTTGCAAGCATACAGCAGGGTGAGAGGGCATTCGTGTAAACACCCAGATTTTCTTGGTCAGCTTATTCATCTTATTCTGTTTAAACACACATTGCAGAACATTCTGATGAAAGGGGGGGGGGGATTGCAATAATTTCCTTAACTCAAAAAGGCAAAACCTAATAATGATAATAATAAACTGCTCAAAAGGAAAGTCAGTAGAACAAAAGAGAAATACTCAGAGGCTTGTAGAGTAAGACTGAGCACGTTTAGCTACTCCAGTCACAGTGTTAAGTTAAACTACTATTCCCCTCCCCCATTGTGCATCCCTAGCCCACCCCACCTCCCCACCCCTTCAGCTCTGCCTTTTTGTGCGGCACTGTCCCCAGATGTGGGGACATACAAGTCCTCCTCAAAGTTTCTGTCAGCTCAGTACTTCACTCCTGGAATAAATTCCTTGGCGTCCGGGTTCAGGTTACTTTTGCTCTGAAATAAGAACCAAGAGATAATAAATCCCACGGCAAACTGTACTTTAAAACTTATTTTCTCCCTGTTTCCATTATTACCAGTACCTTCCCCTCAGCCTCAAGAGAGAGAAAAACAGAATTCCTGCAACTCAGCCCATTACTGCTGGGCTGGTCTCAGTGGCCCCTGACATACTAAGCCCTGACCAACCGCACTGTCTCCGTCCTGCTTCAGATTTCTGCTCCCTTTATGATGCTTTCATTAGGGGCTTATAAGTTTGACTCCAAAAATAATTCAACTCATTGAGCACTCTAATCTGATGAACATCAGCGAACTCCATCAAACCAGTTTGATTACCACAATCCCTATGCACATATATCTTTCTTCATCTTGCTGTACTCTCTTTGGTTCTCTGCTCTCTTGTGAATACCCAAATCTTAGCACACTATGGGCACAATCATTCAGACCATGAGTTGTGTGAGAACTAAATCCCTCAGAATTCCGTAGGTAAACATGGAAGGCAGGGAATTATTTACCCAGTCTTCTAATTTTAAGTGGAAAATGGCCTCTAATGAATATGTTCCTTCCGAAATGAACAGTTTTTATAACAGCATCATTCAAAATTACAAATGCAGATTTGAGGGACAGTAAAAGAAAAGAACAGCAGCAAATTATAATTTAAAACCAAATCTTGCCCTAGCTGGTTTGGCTCAGTGGAAAGAGCATCAGCTTGAGGACTGAAGGGTCCTGGGTTCAATTCCAGTCAAGAGTGCATTGCCTGGATTGTGGGCTCAATCCCCAGTAGGAGATGTGCAGGAGGCAGCCGATCAATAATTCTCTCTCATCATTAATGTTTCTATCTTTCCCTCTCCCTTCCCCTCTGAAATCAATAAAGTTATATTTAAAAAAACAACAACAACACCTTTTCTACGTTCAAATTTTTATCCTTAATCCCAATTCTATTTTGAAAAGCCCATTGGGAAAAATGAAAGTTGGTGATGCTGTAACATTGATTTTTTCACAATGCTTTATTAGGCGAATGCATCTTCATTGTACCCAATTATTAATGCCCACATGGTAAGTGAAGAATAGCGGCTTAGAGGGCTCCAGGGATTTGCCCAAGTTGTGGAACTTATGGCTCTTACCAAAATATCTTCAGAATCATGACCATTGCTGACAGATAGTCCATTTAACTGTTGTTGCAACTGTCCCATGGCCTGAGGCAGGTCTCGCGATGGAATAAACCAGTCTTGGTCTTCCTCGTCCAGCATCTCCTGGAAGCACCGGTCCAAGAAGTCCTGCTCCAGCAGCTCCTCCTCCACCTGACAGCAAAGGTGCAAGCTCAGACTCACCCTCCCAGAGGCACTCGTCCCTTCCAGGTTTAATCTACCTCTTTGTGTTAGAGGTTTACTCCAAGATTAAGAATGATCTTGCATGATATCTGCTAAGAATTAAGAAGCTTCTAATGACTGGCTGGACAGAATATAAATTTTTCAATTGTTAAGTTCCATTAACAATAAGACTAAAGAAATAGTTATTCAAAATAGCAGAAATTCTTCACAGATCATCTAAGACCTCTAATATGTGACACAGATATTTTCCATTCACATGGCACTTACCAAAAATCTTTTTTTTTGTAAAAATATTTTTTTATTGATTTCAGAGAGGAAGGGAGAAGGAAGGAGAGATAAAAACATCAACGATGACAGAGAATCATTGATTGGCTGCCTCCTGCATGCCCCCCACTGGGGATTGAGCCTACAACCCGGGTATGTGCCCTTGACCAGAATCAAACCTGGGACCCTTCAGTCTGCAGGCTGATGCTCTATGCACTGAGTAAACCAGCTAAGGCCCGAAAATCATTTTTAAAGCTTAAAATTCTTTTCTCAATCTTATTAAGAAGCAACTTTTCCTAAATTTCCCATTTTACAACTATGAAAAAGGTATAGGAACTATGTAACTAGACCACTACCTGGACAGCAGACAGTAAGTCAAAACCAACTCTCAGCTTCTGGCCCACTTTTCTGGTAATGAGGCCCCTAAGGGTGAAAAATACTTTCAGAACCTTAGAAAAATATAAAGAACACTTTTTGACATACCAATAGAAAATGATTTCGTCAATGTAATATTCTTTCAAAACAAGAAGCAATATGAGCCCCGGCCGGTGTGCTCAGTGGATTGGAGCATCATCCCATATACCAAAAGGCTGCAGGTTTGATTCCTGGTCCAAGCACATACCCAAGGTGTGGGTTTGATCCCCGTCAGGGTATGTGCAGGACGCAGCCGATCAATGTTTCTCTCTCTCTCTCCCTTCTTCTCTCTCTCAAAACCAATGAAAGCATGTCCTCAGATGAAGATAAAAAGAAAAAAATACTATGAATATTGAAACAAGTCCATATTTCTTAAAGATCGCCCTAAACCAAAGCAATATGTATCTAAGATATTTTATACCTGTTTACAGTCATTGACTATTAACTCTTATGAAAGAGTTCAATCTGCACACTGTGTGACTTTAACAGGCCTCCTGCCTCACATTTGGCCATGTCTTCTGCAGCTGGCCTGGTGACAGATTCATAGCTCACTCATGCCACTGCCAGGGAGGAGTCAAACAAAAATCATCACCCAAACTAGCCAATACAGTTAACACCTCATGAATTCAAAGGAAAAGTCACTGATAGCAAGACTGAAAAATAGTATTTCAACATTATAGTTAGCAACATTTAAAAAAAATTCAAGTAAATTAGAAAGTTATGAAGTACTTAGCAATAACTACAAAATATTTCTAAGCCACAAGATTTAACCTAATTGTTCAAGATCTGCCCTGACTTCCCCCCAAAAGTGTTCCCCTTATTAAATTTATCCTTATCCACAGGCACAACCCTCAAAAACGGTTACCTGGGCACACGGGTGTGACCGCAGCATGATGTACGTGCTACTCACACAAATCATGACACCGTGAGCCACTTGGGAGTGGAAACTGCTGACAGTATCCCTAAAGCTTGTTTTCTTCTTCCCTCAGCAACAGGCTGCTCAGTTAATACCGTATTTCCCATCTCCCGTGCTAGACATGGCCACGTAACTATCAAGTGATGTCCCCACAAGGGATGGGAGCACTTCGCATCACTTGGTGAAAAGGAGATCCCTTGCCTTGGCTTTTGACTCTCCCTTTCCCAGTGGCTAATTCCAATCAGTAGTATATTGATGGGAATTAACGTTACAGAGATAGAAGACACTGCTGAATCTTTGTTGAAGCGGTCTAGCCTTCCCCTACCCTACTACACACATACCGATCTCAGGCTCACATTCTGCCAGTCCCTGAGTTCTTGACTGGGGCATGCCAGGCTGGCCTGTCTGCACAAATCTGCTGTTTCTCAGAAGTCTATACCAGATCACCATGGCACTAGATCCTCTTTTAATTAACGTGGCAGAAAAATATCATGCTCTTCCTCCAAAGTACTACTTGGTCTTTTACCAACTGAAGGTGTTTCCTGGTCAGCTCAGACTAGGCATCCATGTATTTTTAAGTTATTCTAAAGCCAAGGAACCCATTTCTTTTGTAACAGAACTCTAATAAAGTATAGCTGCTGAGTCACACACATCATTGTCCTTCCTCTTCTTTCTTTACCTGTCTGTTAAAATCCTCTTCATTCTCCATCCACATGTACTCTGCAAATGGGTTTTCTTTCTCATCGTGCCCATTTAACACCTGGTCCTCTTTGGATTTTACATTGGGTGATGTATTTGCCACACTGGATCCATTCATTATGATAGAACCTAAACAGAAACAAAAGAAAAGGTAAAATGTTACAAGAATCAAGGAAATGAAAACCTATAATATCCAGATTCTCCCAGAAGCTTCTGAAGTTCTAAGTCCAAGTTATTAACTACAGATAAACACAAACTGCTAATCTGTATCTGTTGCAAAACTAATAATATCTTATAATTATCAACTATACAGATGTACAACTGTTTAAGAGTTAAAAGAAAAATATGCCTTCTTTCTGCCATCTTGGAGACTACAGAGTCTGCTGGGAACAGGACTTCTGTAACAATAAATATCTCTGGAAGGCCATTTTTGCTGACTATACGTGGGGTTTCCAGAACCAGAGGGAGCACACAGCTCTTCTTAAAATTGAAGGTGTTTAGTCTGAGCCTGTGTGGCTCAGTGGTTGAGTATCAACCTATGAACCAGGAGATCATAGTTTGATTCCCAATCAGGGTACATGCCCGGGTTGTGGGCTTGGTCCCTAGTGGGGGGCATGCAGGAGGCATTAATTTTTCTCTCTCATCACTGATGTTTCTATCTCCCTCTCCTTCTCCTTTTCTCTATCTGAAACCAATAAAAAAAATGTTTTTCAAAAAATTGAAGGTGTTTATACTTGAGATGAAACTAAATTCTACTTAGGCAAGAGATGTGCTTATGTGTACAAAGCAAGAACACCACAGTGACTCCTGGTAGCAAATGGAGTAAAACCAGAGTAATCTGGGGAAAGGTAACTCGTGCTCATGGAAACAGTGGCATGGGTCACGCTAAATTCCAAAGCAACCTTTCTGCTAAGGCCACTGTATAATGCTGTACCCCCCAAGGATTTACACTTATTGAAAAATAAATAAATAAATAAAATGGATTTGTTCTCTTGTAAAATAAATAAATAAATAAAGGGGAAAAAACAACAACAACCATGTCTACAGTTAGTTAGCCTTTCTAGCAAGTGAGAGGGAGGATGAATCTTTTCAAGGCAAACTCTGTAGGTTTTAGAACAGCCGTGGGCAAACTACGGCCCGCGGGCCGGATCCGACCAGTTTGAAATGAATAAAACTAAAAAAAAAAAAAAGACTGTACCCTTTTATGTAATGATGTTTACTTTGAATTTATATTAGTTCACACAAACACTCTATCCATGCTTTTGTTCCAGCCCTCCGGTCCAGTTTAAGAACCCATTGTGACCCTTGAGTCAAAAAGTTTGCCCACCCCTGTTTTAGAACCTAATCGTGATCACATGGCTTCCTTAAAGTTTAAATAAGTAAAGGAAATGCATTCTTAATGAACATGGTAAGCAACTGTCTCTTATTTTGATTCTCAAGAGTGGTTTTATTTAGAACTTATTTTAAAAAAATACATGTTTATTATATTGATAAGCAAAAAAGAGAAAATTAAGGTCACCAGCTGTTCAACCAACCAGAGTAAAGAATCATTAACAGTGTGGTGCATATAACCTCCCTGACTTCCCCTGAGTGTATTCAGAGACACAGACACACACACGATGTACCATCATTTGCTTTTTCTCATTCCTATGATAACACAGCCATATTGTTTTTTGGGGTGTTTTAATGTTTCTGTATTATAAAAGTTTGATGAACTTCTTGGGCTCATTTAAAAAAAATGATTTCCTTAAGATAACTCCTGGGAATAGAACTGCTATATTAGAAGTTACATTTGTTTTCTTAAGGCTCTTGATTTATTGCCACATGGTCATAAGAACTTAAATTCCCATCAGTAGTATATAAGTGCCTGTTCCTCTGCATTCAGGAGTATTATTTTTTAAGCCACTACCAATCTCAATTTATTCCTTACATTTACAGTTCTTTAATTTTTAATGAGGCTGAATATTTTGAGATATACTTACTGGCCCTTTATATTTCTTGTTTTATAATGTTTTGGCTCAAGTACTTTGCCCATTTTTCTATCAGGGTATATATCTTTTCCTTATCTTTGGAAGAACGTTTATTATTTTTATAATTTTAATTTTCATAAAATAATTTATAAATACAAATATTTGATTTGCTTAATTTTTGGTAGCAGTTTTGCTGGCCTTAATATTTGTCTATAGCAGTGGTTCTCAACCTTCTGGGTCACGACCCCTTTGGGCGAAGAACGACCCTTTCACAGGGGTCGCCTAAGACCATCGGAAAACACATATATAATTACATATTGTTTTTGTGATTAATCACTATGCTTTAATTATGTTCAATTTGTAACAATGAAATTGGGGGTCACCACAACATGAGGGTATTAAAGGGTCGCGGCATTAGGAAGGTTGAGAACCCTGCTCTATAGCTCGATGGAGGTTTATATGTTTTGTAACTCACCTGAATATTAAGTACTCCATAAATATTGGTGAATCATTACTCAGGAATCATTACTTTCCCATTCTATTTAAATACCATCCATTTAAATACCATCCACACCCCATCCCCCTTGGGGCACCTTTAAGTTTTCTTTTTTTTTTTTTTTAAATATATATTTTATTGATTTTTTACAGAGAGGAAGGGAGAGAGATAGAGAGTTAGAAACACTGATGAGAGAGAGACATCGATCAGCTGCCTCCTGCACATCTCCTACTGGGGATGTGCCCGCAACCCAGGTACATGCCCTTGACCGGAATCGAACCCGGGACCCCTCAGTCCGCAGGCCGACGCTCTATCCACTGAGCCAAACCGGTTTCTTTAACAAATTATTTCCTAATTCATTTCCATCTTGGCAACATTCATGAAAAAATCCTTTGCTTCTTCTGTGTACACTAAAAAATTATTGCTTACTCCCTTTTAAAATATTTGCAATTTTCTAACCTGTTATGGACATTAGGTAGAACTGTGAAGAATAAAGAATAGCCAGTAAAACAACTATTGATAGTTTAAAAAGTATTTCATTTATGCCCAGCAGCATGGCTCAGAGGTTGAGCACTGACCTATGAACCACAAGGTCACAGTTCGAGTCTCGGTCAGGGCACATGTCCGGGTTGCGGGATTGATCCCCAGTAAGAGGTGTGCAGGAGGCAACAGATCAATGATTCTCTCTCATCACTGATGTTTCTATCTTTCTCTCCCTCTTCCTCTCGGAATTCAATTAAAAAAATATTTTTTAAAAAAGTATTCAATTTGAGACAGAACCCATTTAATTCACTGTTGGTATAAACAGGCACCTAGTAAGAAATGATCAGTTTTACATATTTTAGATAAAGACAAAAGAAATCAATAATAACAGTATGGTGCTCCATTATTTGCTTTTTCTCATTTCTATGTTAATAAAGCCCTACTGTCTTTTGGAGTGTTTCCAATGTTTCTACATTACATAGGTTGCTTATATATTCCAAATCCAGCTCCATAATAAATCCCTCCCTAAGGCTATAGAAGAGAGAAAACCACTTCCTTATTTTTACCACTTCCATTTGCAGCATAACAATGACAGCAGCAAGTCTGCTCTGTATCAGTGGGTTATTCCTCAACACAGCGACTCTTAAAGGCCCGGATCCTTGCTGGGTAGCAGGTTGCACAGCATCATCGGTCCAAAGATTCACTGGCAGCTGTTTACAGCCAACACAATGATTTATCCTTATCAATAGGGAAGTCATTCATAGAAACTCAGAGTTTAGTTTTCTAAAACATCTGCCTTTGCCCAAAAAATAAATCCTGAGTACACACAACCATAAGGAAAAAGGGAAGGCAGAGGAAAAAAGAAAGAATAACCCTTCTAATTCAAGAACAAGCAGGAAGACAGAGAGCAAATTGCAGGATGCACTCGTTCATGAGAAATGGAAAGGAAAATTACCATAATCTCACATGGAGACGTTCCCCAAATTAACACACTTTATTTTAGCAAAGTTGAAATCATTGAGAGATGGGGCTGCTAATACTAGGAAAGTGGTTTTCTTACAGTTGGCTACGCAGTATCGATTTGTACTTTATACCATTCTACTTTTGTTTTCCACACAATTGGAAAGTTTGGTTTCTCTTAAATAGCAGCAACTTAATAATTTAATTTGTATAATGTTTAGCAATTTATCAAGTACTTTCACGTCTATCGTCTGACTGCCTCATAACCTGTCTTGCCTCACTTTATTTTTTAAAAATATATTTTTATTGATTTCAGAGAGGAAGAGATTTCAGAGGGAGAGAGAAAAACAACAATGATGTGAGAGAATCATCGATTGGCTGTCTCCTGCATGCCCCCCACTGAGGATCGAGCCCACAGCCCAGGCATGTGCCCTTGACTGGAATCCAACCTGGGACCCTTCAGTCTGCAGGCTGACGCTCTAACCACTGAGAAACTGGCTAGGGCTGTCCTGCCTCACTTAAAAAGCCCATCCAGACATTGCTATAGGAGGAACAAAGAAGGTGCCAGATTCAGGGGTTAAGCAAACTGAGTTGCTGGGTTAGTTCAAGAACACCGGATTTGGGCTTACTGGGTGGCAGTGCTTAATGTGCCCCTGACCTTTTTTTTTATTATTGTTTTATTGCTTAAAGTATTACAAAGGGTATTACGTATGTGTCCTTTTTTTCCCCGCCCTTGCCCTGACCTTTAGTAGGAGGTGGGAATGGGAGACTTTGCTGGAGACTAGAGACTCCTAGGTAAGGCATTTGAGGAATGCCTTCCAACTTGGGGAAGACACTGGGAAAGATAGGATCACTGCCCGTAATGTCCGACTTTCCGGCTTCCAGAGTTTAATGTAATGTTCTCCTCTATTCCCAGCTTCTCTCCAGCTCGCCATCCTCCATGCACACCCTCTAAGAGCAGTGTTTCTCTAACCATCCTACCCTGACCTTTCGCATTCCCTCAATCCTCACCCATTCCAATGCACATCATTATGATACTGTAGTGTAGCGGGGACAACGAAAATGACTCCAAAGCTTCCAAAGATGGGGAAATGCTTGATTCTACAAGGAGGATTACAGACCAGAATGGCTCCACGTGATCAGCTATGCTATGGAAAGGCCCATGTGGCCAGGAACTGAATCCTATTAACACCATGTGAGTGAGTTAGAAGTTCATCTTC